GAGGAGTGGGGAATCAAACCCGATTCTCCCAGATTAGAGTCCGCGCACTTCACCACTGCACCAAACTGGCACTAATAAGATATATAAATAAATAATATATAATAAATAAATAAAATAAAAGACAGAAAAAATCTGTAATCGAAGGGACTTTTGGCCTCAGCTCCATTCTGAAATTCTTGGGCGACTGTGTGCACAACATGAGGAGCACTTCACCACTGCACCAAACTGGCTCTAATAAGATATATAAATAAATAATATATAATAAATAAATAAAATAAAAGTCAGAAAAATCTGAAATCGAAGGGACTTTTGGCCTCAGCTCCATTCTGAAATTCTTGGGCGACTGTGTGCACAACATGAGGAGAGAAACGGCTCCTTCATCGTGGAGGTGGGTATGGGAAGCTTTCTCAATCGAGGCCCACCCGCCCTACAGAAGCAACGGACTCCCCCACCAAGACAGTACCTGGCCTACACGAAACGGCTCCAGCGCCAGAGGACCGACACCCGTCTCCGACATCTTTGAGCCAGCCTTCCGGATTGGACCGCAGACAACCACAACGGCAGGAGGCTCGCCGGGACAGGTGGAGCCGCTGTGGCTACCTGGGAAAGAACCAAAGCACATCAGAGAGAGCTGGGAAGAGAATTCGGAACGACCTGGAGGAGGCCAGTTCAGGTGGAGGCAAGACGAGATATTCTGCAGGCACACGATCGCATTTATTGACAAAGGTGCATGTGTTGGGGGAAGACCTGTGTTAGGTTCAGGAGGCGGGGGAGCAAGAAGCAGCCAGGAAAGTTGCAGGGTCCGTCCCGTTCCCCCCTCCCCCCCCCCCCGGTCCGCCTTCAGGTACAAGCTCTCCCACGAAATGACCCCTGCTCACAGGACTTGGACTCCAGATTTGCTGATCCCTAATCCACTGCTGTGGCTGTCCTGTTTTCTGGGGTTACCTAATTAAAAAGGTAAAGGTTTCTCTTGCTCGAAAGACAGTCGAGTCCGACTCTAGGGTTGCGGTGCTCGTCTCCGTTTCCAAGCCGAAGAGTCGGCGCTGTCCGAAGACGTTTCCGTGGTCATGTGGCCGGCATGACTCAACACCGAGGCGCACGGAACGCTGTTCCCTTCCCGCCGAAGTGGTACCTATTTATCTACTTGCAATGTCTTGCTTTCGAACTGCTAGGTTGGCAGGAGCTGGAACTAGAGACGGGAGCTCACTCCGTCATGCGGCACACCCGGGTCTCCAACTGCTGAACTACCGACCTTCCACAGCCTGCAGTACAGCGTCTTAACCACTTGAGCCACCACAGCTCAATTACATAGGGATAGAAGAGTTGTTGGTCAGTCTGGGGAGGGCAGGGTTTGGGGAGAGAAGATGGGGTGTAATGTCCTAGATTCCACCTTCTAAAGCAGCCATTTTCTCCAGGGGAATTGATCTCTGTCATCTGGACATCAGTTGTAATTCCATGATATCTTCAGCCACGGCTTGGAGGCTGTCGACCCCTGATACCAGGCTTTGGCTATTTGGTATTGGGAAGAGTAGGCCCATTTGGTCCATTGCAAAAACCTGAATCAAACCTGGTCTTAAAGGTGCCACTGGACTGTTTTGGGCCGGG